GGTCCTCCGGTTTGGGTGTCTGGAACTGTATGTCCGACGTTTGAGTACCTGTTTTCTCGACCTCTTGTAAGGACTGGAGTCTAATATAGTCGGGAAAGCCATTGATCTGTGAATTTGTGATCTCTTTGTCTAAGTTTTGGTGATTTATGTAAATAATTGTCTGAACGGTCGGTATTTGACTGATTAATGAACGTATTTTTGGCATCAAATCGCACGAAACAATCAATAATTTAACTTCGGTTTGATTTATGCCATAAACTATTCCCTCATCGCCTGTATTTCGTAATAAAATTATGGAAAGGGAGACAAAGGATTTGCATTAATCAGTTATGTAAAAAATATTTCAGTTTCTTAGTTATGAAAGTTAATATGCAATTACAAATAAATTATTATAATTAAAAAAAAGCTAAAAGGCATAAAAAGTGTTAGAAATGATAAGTTATTGTATAGTACAGTAATTATTACAATAAAACCAGTTTTTATGTGCATATGATGTGAACTGATTTTAAAAATCATGTTTCCCATTAAGTAGGGATTCCCTTAAAAAACTGACAGATTTTTATTGACGGACACTATTGACATTCTGACCCATACTATCAGGTGTTTAGTACAATGAGTTCATTATACGGGGTAATAGAGTTCACAATATAATTATTATGCATCACTTAAACTGGTTTAGCGTTCACTAAACTGCTTCATTAACTCATCACTTAATTAGTTGTGAACCCTTTCTCTGGATTTTGGTTTTGTTTGAAAGAAACTCAAGAATTTATACCCAAATTGGAGAAGAGTGTGACTACAGTGCCCCCCAGTTTGGCGATGGCCTGAGCGCACAGAAACCATTCAACTCTCGTCTCCGATAGTATTAGGATCTTATCGCCAAAAGCCGCCCCATTCGCTACCAGTCCCTTGGCTATCGATGTGGTGATGGTATCGATCTGTCCGTATGTCAACCACTTGTAATCACTGAGTCTGTACTTCTTGAGAGATCGGCCATCAATGCGCTTCGCTTTGCCATCTTTTCCCACCGAGTCTTCAGCCGATAGTACTTCCCGATAGGCTTTTGGGATCAATTTAAATGTCAATTAAGTTTTTCTCGTATTCATGAGCTTAAAGTTTTTATGACAAATAAATTTTAAAATAATGTTTGAGTTCAATATAGCAACAGGTATTATAACAGACTGAATTAATTTTAACACAAATATACTGGGTATTAATAAACATTAATTCATTTATAAAGTATATTGTAAATTATTTTTGATTTTAAATGCGAATATTTTGAAAAATCAAACGTTTATATGTTATTAACAAAATTAAAAATTCAAATAATTTTAGAAACATTTTCTCTAATTTGATGATTTAATTAGAAATCATACGATTTGACAGAACTATGTGTATAAATGAATTTTAAATTATTACTTATATCTTGTGATAAATTATAATTTTGTATCAAATATAAGTACTTTTACGAAATCTTTTTACTTTAAAGCTCTAATTGAAAATCAATTATTAATAGTGCTAAAAATAATGATCACTATTAGTAAAAAATGTGGTGTTTGTGTGAAATATCATTTTTATTGCTTTTGACACTATTAGCCGAAAATTTTCGCTAACTAGTTATTATATTTACCAATAAATACAAGCAATCAAAAGACTTTTGTAGTTTATTACTACTTGTCTCGAAACTAATCGCATTGTGTTTTACATTTAGAGATGAATTTATTTTATAATAAAAAGCATATAATAACTCAGAAATCACACAAATTTGGTTAACAATTGTGTTGAGAAAATTAATATTCAGGTTAAGCAGTATTGTATATCAGCAAACACTTTTAAATAAAACAAAAACAATTAGAGTTTTCTA